CTTCACCCCAGCGTCTGTGTTTTGGGAAACTTCTTGGCTGGCCTGTTTGTCTCCCTCGCAGCTGGCTTTCACGTGCACAAGATATGGGTTTGCTATCTTATGTTGTTGTACACTGTATGCTTTTCCTATGCGCAAGAATGTAACTAGTTAGAAGTGTTGTAAGCAGAGAGGTAGAAAGAATAAAAACCCCAGGAAAGTTTTCCTGGGAGGTTTTTCGGCTTGAGGCTTTTAAGGCTTTCTGGCTACCACAGACCTGGCGTTCTGTTTCCTTTCCTCTGTCGTTGCCACATATAACTATATTCACTTACTTTCAATGTACTTCATCGAAAAACTGGTTGTTCTTAGAACAATCATGAAACAAACAACAGAGAAAAGAAAACAGAAAGAAAGGAAAGAAAGAAGAGAAAAAAAAATCCTGCTTGGTATCAATTTCCTCATATCCGATAGGGGGCACTGTAACCTCTAGACCTTAAAATAATGCTTTCAAGCCTTAGGGTTTTAAATAGTGCCTCAAGCCCACCAATTCAGGGATGCCAATTTGTTAGCTCTCAAACTGGCATGGGACAGTACAACTAGCTCCAGGATTCAAACAGTGCCTCGAGCCCACCCTTTCAGGGACACCAATTTGGTACCCCAGAATATGGACCTCAAGCACTCCAATAATGGTTTGCCTAAGACTATGCAATTTGCTTTATCCAAAGGGGTGATAAGATGGTGGTTCACCCTAGAAGAATTGCCAGGGTGTTACCAGGGGGCTTGTCTCCATCCCACAAAGGGCTCCCCAGAGCAAGCTAATCTTGCTAACCCTTGAAAGGACCTGGATACAGCCTTCTGCTCAAGGATGGACACACAAGCAGTAACTCTTTGAAAACAAAATAATATTTATTTAAAAGAAATCTGCTACTCAGCACGAACAACCCATTCAACCTTCTCTACCACAACTGCTTTGTTATAACCTTTATGAAGTTGGATTACACTATGCGTTACGCTATAAGGATACATTTGTCATTCCAGTAGTGATACTGAAAAGATATCCCATAAAACTGATGATAATCAGGACATCTCTTTTCACAAGGAAGCTAATGGCTGAAAAAGTGGTCTGCTAAAGAATTGTGTGGACTGCTGAAATTGCCTGCTATTTAAAGAGGGCAACTGCATGATACAGCTTGAAATCAATGTCCATTTCTTTAGCATAAAATTTGTGCAGTGGAAAGGAAACGATTTTTAAAGTAATAGATCTTAAATACTCTTTTCCATGGTATTGCCTTGTATATCAGATGGGTTTCAATCTTAGTGGAAATAGCATCAAGATGACCTTGTTAGTCTTTGTTTTAGGAAGACTGTAAAATTTGACTTTCTTTTTTCTGACACCTGTTGACTAAACAACCATCAATAGTAACATTGCCATTCGCTGATTTTGTTGGATCTGGGTATTGTGGCACTAAAATGTTACATGAAAATACCCAGACACATACATGGGTGAGTTAAACACAAAATAGCTTCTTAAACACCAATTTCATTGTAAATATCAGTTTTAAGTTCTCCTCTGTATTTTTTAAAGGTTTGTTTAATGTAGAGAAGGAAATGGGTTCTAGTAGAGCATTTCGTTATTCTTCAGACCAGTTGTTTAAGAAGGAACGAAGGATTTAGAAAACTAGCTTCTTTAAAGGTGATCTGAGAACAATAGTGTGTGGTGAAACTGGGGTTGTTGCTACAGTTGCCAACCCTTCAGGATTGGCCTGGTGTCTCCACGTATTAAAGATTAATCTTTAATTAAAGATTATGTCATGCAAAGAAACCTCTAGGAACACGTCCAACCAAATCTGGCAACCCTAGTCGTTGCTTTCTTTATGATGAAGTCTGAGTAAAAGCTGTTCAGCCTCTCCTTGAGATTCATTTCCAGTTTGACTTTTTTAATAGCTCCATTATTAAAGGTCTGAAGTTTAGAAGTTGCTATTTGACTAGGAAATAGATCTCCTTGACAGATGCATGACTTTGTTCTGGAGAAAATTGGCTTCAATATAATCAAGGTATGCATGTTTTAAAACTGAATACTGATTACACTTAGAGGAGTAGGGTTTTTTGGGTTTTTTTTTTTTTTTGCTTTTGCTAAGCTCATTATAGGTGTGCATGAAGAACAATGTACTAGGCATGCCTATGTTTTCAGCAAATTGGCTGTTTCCTCCAATGTCTTGAAACTAGGCTGGAGAACTTTTCTGGAAACCTAAAACTCTGTAAAAGGGAGCCTCCTTCCTCTCCCCTTGAAAGTGACCTGTTAGCATTTGAGAGACATGGTTGGTGAGGTAATACCTTTTATTGGACCAACTTCTGTTGATGAGAGAGAGAAGTTTTTGAGCTTACAAAGACCTGCTCTTCAAGTCTGAAAAGCTACCACTACAGCATGAAAGCACTTAATACAAATTGTTGTTTCAGAATTTGTTCAACATGGTGCCCTATTAATTCTTTGTACTGACGTACACAGCTCCTGTATACTTCCAATTGACCAACAGACATTCATGTTATCTCACTCAGTTACAGGTAGAACAGAATTATTCTTTATGAACTAGAAAGCTGAGGCTATTTGTTTTGTGCCACTAGTTAGCTTGAATTAAGGTACTTAAAGTACTGCATATTTCATCTGAAAACTTGTTTAAGCGAATGTGGTTTTTTTAATTAAAAAACACGCTTACAAAAGTCAGTTAGCATAGATAACATTTCTTTATCAAAGCAGATGGTTCCAGATATAAAAAAATAATCTTTTGTAATCTTATACTAAGAGAAGGGAGGCAAGTGTCTTCTTTGTTTTTATAAGGAATAAAAATTCCTTCTCTCTCCTTTGTGCTGTGTGATGACGACTCCCACTGAAGTAGTTACTACAGAATTAGAGTCAACTGAATAAATGTGTTTTGTTCCTACTTCACCAGAAAAAATAAAGCCCAGTTTGGGTCTTGATTGCCCTCTAAATTATCTATTTAAACAAAGTGGTGTGAAAAGCCAAGATATGAAAATAAAGAAAATATTCAGTCTTATAACCCCGTCAGTGCACTGAATTATTCAGTCCCATTGTCCACAAGACCACAAGTATGAGACTCGGGATAGTTTTTGTGTGTCTACAATACCAAGTATTTGACAACAGTAAAAAAGTATAAGTCTAACTTGGCATATACTGTCTATGATGTACAATTTCTTAGACAGTTGTTTGAATGTATTTTTGTGAAGGAGGATGGAAAAGATGCTTTAGATTCCACCAAACTAAGTTGCAAAAAAAAAAAAAATAAAATAAAAAAGCACGCACGAGGATATCAAAATGATATTCTAAATAGTTCATTTTGATGATTATACAGAGAGTCTGTTATGCTAGTTATGCAAGAATGGCATATCGGTGTCCACAGGTGCAGAAGCAAGTTCACATAAATATTTTGCTTTGTCATTTATTGGACCAACTTCTGTTTGTCAGAGAGACAGCCATTGGTCCAATAAATGACACTTTGTCTCTTTATCAGTCCCCATCTACCCTCCTCACTGCAAAAATGTTACTGTACCTTTTTACAACAAACACCAACCATTGCTGATTTATTCAAAAGGAAAAACTAAAGCATGGAGACAGTCCATCAGCAGTGATACTACAGCACCAATGTGATGTGTCTTAGCGAAAAGAATGTGTGGACATCTGAGCCCCTAGTGCCAGTGAAATTAGGGGAAAAGAAGGGGGATTAAAATATGCTGTCTGCATCTGAACGTATAAGTGAAATAGTGTAGCCAAGATTAAGAACCAGTCCAGTAGCAATGCTGACTGCAAGGTATAAGGCAGGGGTGGGCAATAATTTTTGCAGGGGGGCCACTCCATAACTTTTGGTAAGTCATCACGGGCCGCACATTTCTGCTATATTAATGGAGATGGTGCGGGTTTCTGGGAGGGAGTTTGAGTGCAGGAGGGAGCTCCAGGATGGTGCTGAGTGGTGGGCTGCAGGAGACGGTGAGGGGTGTGAGCTCTGGGAGGGAGTTTGAATGCAGGATGGGGGTTCTGACTTGGGACGGGGTGTCAGAAGGGGTGCGAGGTGCAGGCGCTAGCTAGGTAGGAGGTGCTTACCACACTGCTCCTAGAAGCAGCTGCTGCTGGCACATCTCTGCGCACACCTTGGGAGGAAAGGGTCAGTGGGTCTCTGTGCCCCGCAATCCCCGCCCCTACAGCACCCATTGGCCATTTTCCGGTCAATGGGAGCTGTGAGGATGGTGCTGGGGACATGGGCAGCACACAGAGCTGCTTCCCCTGCAGGGGCGCACAGAGACATACCAGCAGCAGCTGCCCACTTCCAGGAGTGGCATGGGTCCATGGCATGCAGGCAGCCTCCCTGAGCACCCTGCTGTGCCGCTAGAGTCATGGCAGGCCAGACAGAAATGTTAGACGGGCTGGATCTGACCTGCGGGACATATTTTGCCACCCCTGGTATAAGGGCACAATTATGGCTGCATCACCTCCTGCAAGCAGTCTATCCAGTGTTCATTTATTGACTCTTCAGATAGGTAGTTTCTTGATCGGGACAGGGAAGAGCAGGTTCCTTCCCTAATCCTGCCAGCCCCTGCAGCTGCTCCTCACCCCCGCGCCTTTGTCCCGCGAGGCCAGGCCCCGTCCACTCCTGGTCTAGGCTGCTCCCCCCGCCTTGTCTCTCACGTGCACAACACTCACGTTCACCCGGCCCTGCAGAAAGTCACTTCCCGATTGGCTGGGGCGACTCGTCATTTACATAGAATCTCAGGTTGAGGCTCCGCCCTCCCGCTGAGGGTCGCAAAGATTCCCTGCGCCGTTCCGCGTTCCGTCCAATAGGAACGCTGGGCTGGCACTGTTGTTGCACGTGAGGGCGGTGCACGTGGACCTGTTATGTAAAGGGCGTGTGGCAGTATAGGGGAACGCCACACGCGCGCAGGCGTGTGAGGTCAGTGTTCTGCGGAGGTAGGTGCGCATGCGCGCACGCGGCCCGTCCACGCCAGCCTAGCTCCGTCCTGGTCCTACTACAACGACAATGAAGCAGCAGCAGCAGCAGCTGGCGGCCGCGAGCGCGGGTGTCCCGGCCTTCCTGAGCAAACTGTGGGCGCTGCTGGGGGAGGCGCCCAGCAACCAGCTCATCACCTGGAGCCAGGTAGGGCCCCCGCCCACGGAGACTGGGAACCCCCCCCCCCACCGGGCAAGAGACGCGTCTTTCTCGCCCGCTCCCCCCTCCCACGGGAAGATGAGGGCGGACTGAGCTGGGGAGACGGGCCCGCAGAGGAGAGGAGCCGCTCGGGGCGGCCGCGCCTCTCTCCCCATAGCTTGAGGCAAGAGGGGCCTGACGCCCCCCCCCAGGGCCTTGTGCCCCCCCGCGGGCCTAGTGCGTCCTGCACTGAGGGGGGGCAGGGCCGCCGCCCCCCAGGAGTAGCTGCACTGAGAGCCCCCGCCCCGAGCACAGAGGGGCCCGCAGCGCCTTGCCCGCTCGCGGGGGGAAGGACAAACCCGGAACTTCCTTCAAGCCAGGTCCCTTCCTTTCCTGTCGGTGACCCAGAAACTCCTCGTGCGTGTCCGCTCCCCCTCCCCGGCCCCGAGCTGCCGCCGCTCGGCAGGGGACGGGCGGGGGTTTCTTGGTTTTGGGCACCGACCTGGCCTTGTTCAGGGAGCAGATTTACACCGCGTGTGCGTTGGAGAGTCCCGCTCCGCAGCGGGTTCAGCCTCCTGCCCGCACCCCACAGGCTAAAGTTTTGGTGGGGGTGCGGGGCTGTAGACGAAAGGGCTGCTTACCCCAGATCAGCAGGTTCCCGCTTTCAGGGGTGGCTTTTAGAGGAGATTGTGTGGCCTTGTTTTGGGGTGGATAGGTGGTGGTGGGGCACAACTGGAGTCTGAAGGTGATTTGGTTTCTTAAAATGTTTTAGTGAGAGACTTTCAGCTGGAACTTAGAGAGTTTCCAGGTTTCTGTCTTTCTCTCTCCGTGTCCCTACTCCATAGCCGTTTTAGTTTTATTATATGATGATGCTTATTCACATCGTTGTTTCCAGTTGCAAGGGTAGGACCACAGGAGGAGAGGTTGCCTATGCAAACTTACTGAATATCTATTCTTATAAAATGTTTTTCTCCTTAGCTTGATAAGGATGTAGGAATTAGTTGTCCTATCTCTTCCACATGTAAAACATAATAGTCAACTCTAAAAAGCAATAGAGGGTCCTGTGGCACCTTTAAGACTAACAGAAGTATTGGAGCATAGGCTTTCGTGGGTGAATGCCCACTTC